AATACAATAAAACAAGACTCTCAAAACCACATCCTTATCATGAAAGATCAAGGGAAGTAGTTGACAATGAATCTTGAACTGCTTTCATCACTAATGAGCATGAAACGACTCAAGACTCAAGGGTTCAATTAACGTCCGATTGAACCCAAACAAGTTATTATCTTGCACCTTTTTTATCACCAATTTTATTAATTCATTTTAGATTATCATCCATTCTTTAATCAATTGAGTCCAATGGTGAAGTTAAGTCCTCTAATGTAGTGAAGTACCAAACCAAGAGTTAACTTAAGACATGAAAGAGATGTCATGCGGTTGATAATGAACCCCTAAAAGGGATTAAACTATTAAGCATGACAACCTCAATCTCATGCTTAAAAGAACAAGAGGCTTGAAACAACTCTCAAAGAAAAACAAAAGCCAAGAAATAAGGGAGGTTGCATAGATTATTAGTGCTGAAAATAATTGAGAAAAGCATAAATAAATGCTATCAACTCAAAGGAGATGGTGTCTAAGGCCTAGAACACCAAACTCATGAAGACTATTGCACTATAAGCATGCAAAACAAAGCTCAAATGCAACTATCAACCAAAAACAGTCCTAAAACAGTCTAAAAATAGTCCTAAAACATGCTGGAATTAAGCTAAAAAAAGGCTAGATTAATAAGCTAAAACATAGCACAATCTAGGCTAGTAAGCAAGACACAAGAAGGGGAGGCTAACCCCTCCAAATTTGGACTTCAAAACTTGATTTTAGCCACTGAAATAACTCTAAAAAATAGTGGTTAACAGCTAGAAAAAGATAGTGCAAAGATGGGAAGCACAAGCGTAATGGCCTTGGAAGCTAGGTAGAAGGAATGGTGAGCCACCCCTCCACCCTTGTTGACCTTAAACCACAAGTTTCAGCCCAAAATTTTAGAGTTTTTACGGTCCAAAAACCAGCCCAAAAACAATACAAAAATGTGCTGGAATGAAGACAAAAGTAGCTAAAATAATAAGCTAAAACATGGAGCAATTTAAGCTAGTAAACAAGCCAAAGAAGAGGTGGCTAACCCCTCCATTTTTGGGACTTCAAAATCACTTTTTTAGCCTCTGAAAACCTTATAAATTCAGTGGTAAAAAGCTTAAAAAAAAGTTGAGAAAAGAATGGGAAACACAAGGGCAAAAGCTTAGATAATATGGTTCAAGGAAGGGTGGTTAACCCCTCCATCTTTGGTAGCTTTAAACCACAAGTTTCAGCCCATAAAAATAGGTTTTAAATAACTCAAAAATCAGTAGAAAAGATGGAAAACAAGTGGTGTAAAAATGGTACAAAAGCAAGAGAAGTTATACCTCTTGAAGAGGAATGAACCCTTAAGTCATAAACCAAGAATTTCACACTCTCAAGTGCTTCAAGAGCTCAAATCACCTTAGCAAGAAGCTCTCTAGGTTTGGTTTAGAGTGTTTGGGGCAAGGCTATGCAAGTTGCAAAAGAGAGTGAATTGTTGAGAAAGAGGGTATTTTTCAAAATTATTTCCTCACTCCTAAATGTTTCAAACCTTGAAAGCAAGAAGAGAGATCCTCTATATATAGAAAACATGAGCCTTAGGTTGAAAATATCTAAAAAGGGACAGTTGGAGCTTTGTGGAAATAGTTGGAAAAAAAATATGGGTTTTACACAAGTGGCTAGCAGGTGGCCGGCTGGCCAGAAGTGTGAATTTCCGGCCACCAATGGTGTTCAGCTGGCCATCTGCCGACCCCCTGCTAGCTACAAAAAATCTACTTCCAAGTCTGACTTCAAACGGGCATATCTCCTTCTTCTGGACTCAGTTTTAGGTCATTCTTGAGTTTAAATTAAAGCTCCAGTAGTCTACTTTCCAATGGTGGGAGCCTTACATCTAAATTCTAAGTGTGCAAAGAGATATGCCTATTTTAGTGAAGGTTGCTCAGTTTTGTCTTAATCGGATTGATGCCTAACCTCAAACAGCCATATCTCTCTCATCCGGACTCGGCTTTAGGAGATTCTTGAGTCTAAAATGAAGCCCCGAAAGTCCACTTTCTAGTGGTGGTGGCCTCACAACTAAGAGCATCTCCAATGGTTTGCCATTGGAGCTACCATTGCTATAATATAGCAGTTGTGTTGAAAAATAATGCTCCAATGGTTGAATATAGCAGCTGCAAAATTTGAGAAATGCCAAAGCTTGTGTCAAATTTGGCACAAGCTTTGGCAGCTGCCATTTGTGCCAACTCAGTAAAACCAATTGTTTTCCTCCCTCCTTTCCTCCTTCCCCAACAACTGTTTCACCATTTTTTTTAACAAGAATTGAACCAAAAAAAAAAAATTCAATAATTTTTTTTTTAATTTACCCAAAATCAGCAAAGGTTTTTGTTTACATAATCAACAACAATCAATAAATCATGCTCAAACAAAGCAATAAATATTAACAAAATCAACAACAATCCATAAATCGAACAAGAAAAGTGACGAAAAGGTACCTGAACAAAGAACCGAAGGTGGAGAGAGTCGGAAGAGAGTGAGAGACAGAGGAGTCTCTTCAATCGTCTATCTCCAGATGAATCGTCAATCGTCGATCTAGTGGTCCTTACTTACGTCCATTCACTGATCTCACTCGCTCCCTCTCCTTCCTTCCTTCAATCGCTCCCTCTCTTTCATCCCCAAACGCCTCTGCGAAATCCCCAAACTCTACCCCCATTCAGTCTCCTATTCGAAGATACAGAGAAGAGAGAGTCGGAAGAGAGTAAGAGACAAGAGTCTCTTCGATCGTCTATCTCCTGATGAACCGATGATCGTCAATCTGGTGGTGATCTCACGCTCTCTCTCTCATTCCTTTCTTCAATGGCTCCCTCTCTCTCATCTCCAAACTCTACCCCCATTCGGTCTCCAATTCGAAGCTAGAGAGAAGAGAGATAGGGTTTGTAAGAGATATAGAGAGTGATAGAGTGATGGGGTGTAAAATCAGAATGAGGAAAAGGAAATGAAGGAGGGCACTGTCATGGAAAGAGAGAGAGATAGATGAGGTTTGATCACAGTCGTTAGATCTATTTAATCCAACGGTAAAGGTACTCCCTTGGAATGTGTAACATGAGCCAACGACTCTATTTCAATCTCCATTTCAATTCAAAGTCATTTTAATATTTTGTGATGAATTTTTTTTTTTTAATATTTGAGTATTTTTTACAATAGAATGTAATATTATTTTTGCAATGTATAATGTTGACTATTTTTTAGTATAATTTAAAATTTTCAATAAAGTATAATGAAAAAATAAATATATTTTTTGAAATGAAGGCAATAAAAAGATAAAATACATGACATTAAATGAAGATAATTTTATTATAATAAAAAGACATTAAATATATTTTTTTCCCAAATTTTCAATTTTTTTTCATTTTTTATATTTGTCTAGTCGAGAATAATATATATATATATATATATATTTTACAAATAGTTAAAAAAGGTCACAAAAGACAAAAAAAATAAACAAAAATAAAATCACAAAAAACCTATATCCAAACAACACCTACAAATTTGGAGGGAAAGTTAGTTGAGATTTGCCAAAATAGCAAATGACTATTGGAGTGCCATTGCTATAATTTGGCAAAATAGCACTATTCATTGCCAAATTATAGCAATAGCAATGGCAATATAGCGACAACCATTAGAGATGCTCTAAAGTATACGTAAAACGGGATAGGCCTGATTTAGTGAAGGCTGCTTAGTTCTCTCTCAACGATTTCATGCTCAACTTCTCCCCAACTAGTTTTCTTCTCTCTCCTCCAATTTTCTTCAACTCCAAACCTATAAATAAGAGGTTTAAAGAGATTTTTCAAAGAGTTCACCCCTCTTCCATTTATTTCCACTTTGTCCTTGCTCGGTTTATCGAAAAGGGAAATTTTTAACGAAATGCAAGCCTCGAAACATCGTAGAAATATTTTCAAAAATATTTTGAAAGAGAAGGTTTTAAGGTCTAAAATAGTTTTGGTCCAAAATGGGGTGTAAGGTTGGGATTTAGAAGCTCTTTTTGCTGAAGAAATTGAACTTTTGTACAGCACAGCTTTCATTATCGAGTGATCAATTAGTGGAGCCCAAAAATGGGGTGTCTACAATTGTCCCTCTTTGACAGAGCTCGAAGTCATGAAATGGCGTGAGTGAATGTCAAAGCCCGAAGACGGCCCATTTTGACAAGGCCGTAAGACTTGGGCAAACAAACAAAATGCAGATGCAATTGGTTGAACTTGAGGGTTGCCTACGTATCCCGTTGCAAAGAATCAAACCAGCGTAGTTTAGGGGCAAGATGCAAATGATACACAATGAAACAAAACAATGTAATGATATACAATGTAACGAAATAATCAAACTACAAGCAGTGCAAAACCACACAAATACCATAAAGGGATGGAGATGCAAAATCAAACTACGTTTAATATAGAAAAGAAGTGGGCACAACCGAACGACGCCTAACACAAGATAAGTGCCTACATCCTCAATACTGGCCTCAGCGCAGCATGGATGCTTACACATAATAGAACCATGTTTTAACTTGAAAAGGGTACGAGCACATACAATACTATGTTTTTCACAGAAAGAGAAAGAATACAAGTAATTGGGTGGGATGATATAAGTGATGAGTGATCTCCTGGGGAAAGATAATGATCCTAAATGTTGAATGCAACAAGACAAAGTACAATACAATAGGTGCAATGGATGTAGTGAACAAGGAGCGCAAGCCAAACTACGTCTTACCTAGAAAGGGAATGGACACAAAACAAACCACGTCTAACACATAAAAGGTACCGACACTCTTAATACTGGCCTTAGCGTAACATGGGTACTTACACATGACAGAACCATGTTTCAACAAGGGAAAGCTATGGGCACATGCCAAACTAAGCTTAACATGGAAAGGATGCAGGCGATAAAATGGATATTGATGTAATGAATACAATGGATAGTGTAGTAGATGCATGCGATAGATGCTATATGCAATGCGATAGAGGTAATAGATGATAGATGATACAGCTAGGAAGTGGAAGTACCTTAGAGGGGTAATTGGCGATGACTTACCTTATGCTGCTGTGGATCTTCTGCTTCTTCTTGGTTTCAAGACTTCTTCCTTCATGTTGCACTTCCCAACCATGGGTACTACTTTTCTCCCTGGCTATGTTTGCAACTTTCCCTATTCTCCAACAGGGTGACAGACTAGGTTGGTTTAGTATCCAGAATTGAGGCGTATACATGCTACCTTAACCTATGGGGCTGCCATACAGATTTCAAGCCGAGGATACACCCTGGGTATTTAAACCAGACTTTAGTATCGGAAATCCCGAACCTTTGCGTTCTAGGCCTCGGCCACTTGAACTCTAGTTTCCACCGTCTCGGTGGATCTCCTAGAAACTCACCACAAACACAGGCAGGTGGCTATACCAGACCACCGGAATTCGTTCGGGATGAATAAACAAACTCTCTAAGAAACACATCTCTTACTGCACGATATAATTTCTATCATGCTAAGACTGCGTTTAGTCCCAAACACATACAAAATAATTGGCCTAGGGCCCATCACTAACCTCACAAGTAGTCCATCAAGCAAGTGAAACAATCCAACTATAACTAGCTTCGTCTATCCCAAAAAAATTTAGAACTAGTTTTACGTGTTCTAATGTACACTCCAAAATATTTTATCTTAGGTTACTTTAATTATCATTAAAGTTGCAACCAAACCGTACTACTACAACAAGTTTAATATCTAACTCACTCTACTTTCAAGATTTTTCACATCTAGCCCATTTCTACAAACTTGATATAAAGTCAAAAAATAATTAACTCCTCATAACAACAAACCAGTCGCTACACAACACAAACTCTACTATTTTAAGGTCACATTTACACCCATGTTCATACAAATTGGTTAACCTACGCTTTAATCCTAATTCCACAACATCTTGACCAATCATCCCGGCCATATTACTCTAGCTTACACCTTCTTCTTGGGGAAAAGGTATCCTCCTACATGAGAACATCCTGGGCACCCCAAGTGCCTTTATTACAGCCTCTCCCGCTTGATGACATCTTATATAAGAGACAAAATTTAGCTCAGAAGTAAGTACTCCACACTAGTTCTAACACGCTGCATACGGATTAAACATAAACCTACACATGTATCTACATCACATAAGGCAAACCATATAAGTACATAGTCACATAGAGCACATACGAGTTACCCCTTCATGATATTGACTCGTTCCACAAATATTCAAAGACTTCCAAATAGAAATAGCATTGATCAGGTGCTTTTCTAAAAGGACCTCAAAGAATTTCATGGACGCAAATCACATCTCAGAAGTTTAACCCTATACCCACATAGTCACATAAACATGTTATCACATAGCACATAAGATAAGTAACATTTCTCACTAGAGAAATGAACCCATTGTGGTAAAAACCACTTCCCACGAGCCCCAAGTATTCAAACCCGGTAGCTCTGATACCAGTAACGCCTGGAAAATTGGGCAGGGTATATCAATTTGTGCTACAAAACCCACCTGATGGACAAACATATATATTGCTAACTATCCCATACATCCATTTCCATTAAATCCCAAATGCCAAATACATGCTATTCACATCTCAATGCCATAGTTCCAATCCCAAGCATACATTTTACAACAAGTATGAAATGGAAGCCGAACAGATAATAAGTGCCCTACAGGCTTACAAATTTATCCAAGAACATTCTTGGTTACACAAAATGAAGTTTCAACTCAACGCAAATACAGCCCTGGGCTTACATTCAACAAATAACAATAAAAAAAAAATGAAGCCTCAGCTCCGAGTCCTCCCAAGTCAATGCCTTAGCGGAGGCATAACACCTGTACCTGAAATGGTTTCCCTTATAGGGTGAGCCACAGCCCAGTAGAGATATACTATACAACATATGAACCATGACAAGACTAAAGAGGAGCATGCTCATGCCATGCTCATGATAAAACAATTTATCTCTCTTTTTATAGAGCATGCAATGCTGAGATGCAATAATAGATATAAAATCATTTCCATTTTAAATCATATCTGTTACATGAATATAGGCTCTGTGAATCTCTAGGTGAGTGTCTGCAAGCAGGCCCTAATGCACTACTACTGTTATTTTTACCAGTAAACTGGAAGGCTCGACACCTAACCACGCGGTTCTACACCCCCTACCCAGATTCACCAAGTATTCATCTTTCATGCCATGCTCATGATAAAACAATTTATCTCTCTTTTTATAGAGCATGCAATGCTGAGATGCAATAATAGATATAAAATCATTTCCATTTTAAATCATATCTGTTACATGAATATAGGCTCTGTGAATCTCTAGGTGAGTGTCTGCAAGCAGGCCCTAATGCACTACTATTGTTATTTTTACCAGTAAACTGGAAGGCTCGACACCTAACCACGCGGTTCTACACCCCCTACCCAGATTCACCAAATATTCATCTTTTAGCAAATAGATATATTTCCAAACATTTCTCAAAGAACAGATACATTTCCAATGAAATGAATGTAATGCAATGTCCAATTTTGTTGTGCTCGGAAGTTTTTCTCAAAATTTTGTTCTTGTTTATTCCAGTGTTGAATTTCACTTGTTTCAGAGGGTGCGAGGTCAGGTCCTAAAGGTCTGGAGTTGAGTCGAGAAAATTTTGGGTTGGAGGACCAGGGGCGCACGTGCGGGGCCTTGGGCCACACGTACGGGAGGTGAGGCCACACGTGCGGAATAATGGGAAAAAACCTGGGTTCATACTGAAATAAAAGCACGTAGAGCAGCAGGTGCGGGAATGAGAGGGCTGCACGTGCAGGGATGAAGGCCACACGTGTGAAAGGCACGCTCCGCATGTGTAGGAATATGCACCGCACGTGCGGGCGACGTTGAGTCCAAAAATCAGTTTTTTTTCTTCTTCCTTGGGTTGTGTGTATGTCACTTTTGTATATCATTTTCTCACTCTAAAATCAACTTTTGCTCCTCATTCTCTCTAAAACCTCCACTAAAACATCTTAAACCCTTGATCTCTTTGGATTCATTAGAGTTTTGACCTAACTTCCTTCATCAACTTTAGAGAGCAAACTGAGAGCTTCATCTTTTGCGGTGGAGATTTGATTTCAACACCGTCAAATTTGGGGGTTTCTCATCTTTTCTTCTTCAAAACTTGAGGTAGGGATTTTTGTTAGAGTTATATATATATTTTGCAAGATCATGTTGATGTGGGACTCTTTGAAAAGTGTAGTGATTTTGATTTTGGTTCATGTGAAAGGATGATTGCAAAAATGGGTTTACATCTTGTTTTTCTTACAATATTTGATAGCTTGACTATATCATGAGAAAGGATGATTTGGGAAGAGATTCCCTCTTCGAAAAATAAAGAAATGTTGAGTTTTGGCAAAAACCTAGAACTTGAGATTTTGTGAGAGATGTTGAGAATTTGTGAATGTTTATCTATTACAATGTTGAAATGAGGGAGTAATTGAGAAATCTCTTGTTTTACTTAGTAAATGGTAAATTTTCTCGAAATATGAGAATCATTGATTTTGGGTGATTGATGCACTAAAATGTGACATAGTCATGAAATGATAAGTTTGTTGAAAATGTTTGGGTATGAAAATGTTATTACTCTTGAAGGGTTCATATGGATATGTGATGATCTTGTGAAATGCATTGGATAGAGAGATGGAAATGTTTGATCACAAATGGAGGATTTGTGTGGAAGTTTTGTAAATGGATAACTATTGCATCACATGGATAATTGTTGCATGGGCATTTCAATACATTGCATGTTATAAAATCTTGAATTGGGATTTGAAACCTTACATTGAGAAAGAAATATAGTGAAACGAGTTTCATTGAAATGTTTTGGGGTAAATACGTTGGTAAGTCCATTAGGAGGTGTAGATGAAATTGATTAAGTTGGCCTGAGTGTCCGGGGTGAAAGACCGAAAACATGTGCGGAGGAGGTACCACGTGCCTACCGGTTAGCTACCGGGAAAGTGAGGATTTGGTAGCCCTAGTTATGCTTACTTGCAGACACCAACCTAGGGATTACTTGAGTCGTATTTACTGCCCCTTAAACTAAATTGTAAATTTCTTAATTATTGACATTTCAAATTATCTTTGAGCATGGTAGTTTTCAAAAGATGAAAGATGAAAGATGAAATCTTTTTTTAAATGGCATAGCGTGGCATGTGCATTTCATATTGGGAACCCTGCATAAATGTATATACTTTGTTAAGAATTCTCTTCTGGGCTTTATGCTCACCCCTATGGGGTTTTGGTGTAGGAAAGGACATGGTGAACCCACCAATCTAGGGCGTGGATAAATGTATATAGAGCATAAGGCTCTGTTTTGTTGTGATTGTATTTGTAAGCCTAGGGCTATAACTGTTTGAGTTCGAGAGACTATTTTTGTGTAACCGGGCTTAAGCCTTGGAATTTGTAAGCCCTTGCAGGCATTTTATTTATTTTTTTCAGAGTTGGCGTTTTACATGCTATAGATTCATGTAATTCATATCATTGAATGTATAATTTGCATGTGGGACTATTTTGTACAAACTTTAATGATCAATGTTATGATGATTTGGGAATTGCTATTATTCTATAATGAATGTTAGTCGATGCACTTAAATAAAAAATGAAATTTTCTTAGATATTAAAATAAAATTGCTTCCCACCTTTAATAATAAAAAATAAAAATAAAAAGATTTTGTTGTTCACTTAATATTGAAAAAAATTTAACACATGATATATCACTACTTATCACTAAGCCCACCTTTTGCTACAAAATATGGCCTCTACTTACCACTAGAACTGAGGGTGAAAATTTTCGACACAACAATATCATGATTTGAATCGTATATGAAATTAGCCTAGTTAGGGTTTACTATTGTTTAATACAAATAAAAAATGACATGACCCGATAACATAAATATTAAACGAGTCAAACTTACATAACATGAAATTGATACAAATAACCTGTTTAATGATCATTAGTTACTTTCATGTTATTTTCACTAAGGGATGCTATGACACTTTGAATCTCTTATGTAACTCTATTTAACTAAATAAATACTTATGCAAAATAAGATTTAAAGGCTAAAACAACTTTTTATTTTTTCAATTACGACACTTTGATCGGTATTCTTTTTGTCAAACAATGTTCTCAATGATAAAAACAAAATAAATGTAAAGTACGAAGATAAGGAACAGGTGAGAAACGAAAGAGTTTGAAAAGGTGGCTGTAAAAAGATAAAAGGGAAAAAAAACAAGAAAAAGAAAGGAAGTGAGGGTATTTAAGTCACGATACCAAAAAAAAGTTGTGTTTTAAAAGAAATTTATTACTTTTCTCAATCTTTATAATAGTGGGGTAATTAAGTTAATAAATAAATTCTTAACAAATGCACTTATTAACAACAACACATAAAGATAAATATATTACCTGAACAAAGCTTTGGAACTTGCATTGCTTCTCACAAGAAACATGCTACTTTTCTTTATTGGGCTCCCTTGTTTTTCAAGTGGAAAGATAGGGTAAAGTGGTTCAATCTCGTACAACAATTGTCAAAGCAAAAATAATAATATATTTATTTTAAAGTCAATCTAACAAAAATAATAATGATATTATGGTATAGTTTTTGGAAAAAAATTAAAATAAAATAAATATGGAATCATTATATTGATCGGTATTCTTTTTGACTAGCAATGTTCTCAATGATAAAAACAAAATAAATGTGAAGTACGAAGATAATGAATGGATGAGAAATGAAAGAGTTTGAAATGGTGGCTGTAAAAAGATAATAAAATGAAAAAAAAAAGGAAGTGAGGGTATTAATTGCTTGCAAGGAAATTGGAAAATTTTTAGAGGGAGGAATAAAATAGGACCCACCACTTACACTTTAGCTGATGCTTTAACAATTGCTCAACATCATAATGTTGAGTTAGTGGCACCGAAAAGCAGCATGTGGATGACATACTTTTTTTTTTTTGGCTGTTAAACATAACATAACTCAAGTGGCTGTACCTTATCTCTCTCTCTCTCTCTCTCCCTCTCTCTCGCCATAACTGTTGTTTCTTTCTTGTGCTTCTCTTCCCATGGAAGCCTCTGTGACGAAGGATTGCAGCGTAAAAGTGGCTGTTCACATCCGGCCACTCATCAACGATGAGAGGCTTCAAGGTTGTGCAGATTGTGTCACTGTCGTCTCTGGAAAGCCACATGTGCAAATTGGCACACATTCGTTTACTTTTAATCATGTCTATGGGAGTACTGGTTCTCCCCCATCTGCCATGTTTGAAGAGTGTGTTGCTCCACTTGTTGACGGTTTGTTCCAGGGATATAATGCTACTGTTCTTGCTTATGGTCAGACGGGTTCAGGGAAAACATATACAATGGGTACTAGCTTCAAAGATAGTAGCCAAACCAGATTGATTCCTCAAGTTATGAATGCTTTGTTCAGCAAGATTGAAGCTTTATAGCATCAAACTGAATTCCAATTGCATGTTTCCTTCATTGAGATCCTAAAAGAAGAAGTACGAGACTTGCTGGATCACACGGCTGTGAATAAATCAGAAACTACAAATGGACATGTGGGAAAAGTAACTGTTCCTGGGAAACTGCCAATTCAAATTTGTGAGACAGGATCTGCTGAAGTCAGTGTGAGAACGCTAAAAGAAATGGCTTGCTACCTGGAGCAAGGATCTTTGAACAGGGCGACAGGGAGTATAAACATGAATAATCAATCAAGTCGTTCGCATGCCATCTTCACCATCACATTAGAGCAAATGTGGAAGTTCAATCCAGCTTTTCCTGGTGATAGCAATCTTAACAACAGTATGAGTGAAGAACATCTATGTGCCAAATTGCATTTAGTGGATCTTGCAGGATCTGAGCGAGCCAAAAGAACTGGTTCTGATGGTCTATGCTTTAAGGAAGGAGTTCACATCAACAAGGGCCTTCTAGCGGTCGGTAATGTTATCAGCGCACTTGGTGAGAGCAACATTTTGATCGGTGGAGATCAAAATCCGACAAAATAAAAAATTTGGATTTTTACTTGTTTCCTCTTCTAGCTTGAGGTAGGAATTTTTCCTACACTTCTTTATGCACTTTTACTTGATTATATGGAGTTTAGAGTTGTTTATAATTTAATTAAAATTTTTGGAAAATTTGTGATTTATTTGCTTAAAAGGGAAATTTTGAGAAAAATAAAGAGTTGATGCCCAAATTGCGAAAGTGTAAACTTGGAATATGTTTGTAAGGTTATGAAAGAGCTATGTTTTAAATTTGAACAAAAACGGACTTCGACTCGATTGGTTTTGAAATTTTTACCGGTTTGTGACCAAAAGAGCAGTTTAAAAGAAAACAAAGGAATTACATTTAATTTTGGGGGCTTTTGATCAAAATATGATGTCATAGTTGAATAATGATTAGAGAATGAATTTGGAAAGAAAATGATATTTTCTGGGGCATTAACGAAATTTTTTTTCTTAATGTATCTGTTGGAATAAAACCGACACGGTTAGAAATGGACCTTGAGAGGTCATCGGACATGATTGTGATATGAAAACTAGTGCAGTTGTTCATATTTGATGAGATATTGAATATATTGTATTTGTCGAAATTTTTATGGAATTTAATTGTTTAAATATCCATTTAGGAATATCTGTTTTGGGCTATCGATGGAGGATAACCATGATTGTTGTAGAAATGCATGAGACTTAGGTAAATTGAACCACATCCCTCATTTGTTGCATTGGACATTGCATTACATTCATTTCATTGGAAATGTGTCTGTTTTTTAGAAATGTTTGGAAATGTATCTATTTGCGAAAAGATGAATACTTGGTGAATCCGGGTAGGGGGTGTGGAATAGCGCGGTTAGGTGTCGAGCCTTCCAGTTTACTGGTAAAAATGACAATGGTAGTGCATTAGGGCCTACTTGCAGACACTCACCTAGATATTCACAGGGCCCGTATTCATGCCACAGATATGGTTTCAAATGGGAATGGTTTTATATTTGTTGTTGCATCTCAGCATTGCATGCTTTATAAAAAGAGAGATAAATTATTTTATCATTAGCATGGCATGAACATACTCCTCTTTAGTCTTGTCATCGTTCATATGTTATGTAGTATATCTCTACTGGGCTGTGGCTCACCCTATAAGAGAAATCATTTCAGGTACAGGTGCTATGCCTCCGCTAAGGCATTGACTTGGGCAGACTCGGAGCTGAGGCTTCATTTTTGTTTTATTGTTATTTGTTGAATGTAAGCCCAGGGCTGTATTTGTGTTGAGTTGAAACTCCATTTTGTGTAACCAAGAATGTTCTTGGATAAATTTGTAAGCATGTACGGCACTTATTTTCTGTTTGGCTTCCATTTCATACTTGTTGTAAAATGCATGTTTGGGATTAGAACTGGGGCATTGAGATGTGAACAACATGTATTTGGCATTTGGGATTTAATGGAAATGGCTGTATGGATTAGTTAGCTATATATATGTGTTTGTCTATCAAGTGGGTTTTGTTGCATAAAGAGATATATCATGCCAAATTTTTTGGGCGTTATAATAGATGCCATGTACCAACCAATGGCATCAGCCAGTAGATTACGTAGCTGAAGTGCATATGCAATATAATATTTGAACTCAAACATAATTCAAAAGAATAGCAAAGATGAAAAAATTTACTGATACTAAGGATTTATATATGTGATGTAGTAAATGCACCCTTTACAGCTTGCACTGAAACACAAGTAACATTTCCAAAAAATAAAAAATAAAAAAATGACAAGATAAAAAACTAAAAATTGTCAAGAATTTCCTTATGTAAATCACAATAAATTCCCTTGAAATGCAAATATTTACACACACACACACACATACACACACAAAAATTCAAGGTTACCTTAATGGGATCTGAGGCTATAGGAATTTCATTGGGAACCTCTTCCACATCATTGGATGCAACAATACTAGGGTAAGGATGGGGAGTCTGGTCATGGTTCCTCTTCTCATTAGCACCAAAAACATCACTATTACTATCTCGGAAAAGTTATGAAGTTGTTTCCCAAGCAAATATGGTCACAAGAGAGAATTTCTTCAATAGTTGAATTGAAATATCTTGAGTAGGATCCTGAAACTTTTGCCTCTACCTACCATTGTGCTGAATAAGACTGGTACTTCCATCAAAAGTACCTACTTCAGTCCTCTCTTGATTTTCATATGAGGGGGGCCCACCATCTGAGATAGGTAAAGATGGCCCAGTTGTAACAGCAACAACCTTAGGCAACTCCAAAGAGGACAAAGTTCTCTGTCCATGAAAATAAAACAAAACAAAACAAAACAAAACTACATAGTTCAAACAGTCAAGAGAAGGCATTAAATATCAGGATAAATGAATTTATTACTAATGCTCAAGGCAGTGAAAAAACATCAGACAACAGTTCAAACAGAGAAACATGCAGTATACAACTTCACCGATCTCTTACTAGAATAAATGACAAAAACAAAAGATTGTTTTTGTAACTTTAACAGAAGCAAGAAATGCTGAAAGCAAGACAACTCAATATTTGCATGTAAACAGGAAAAATGAACTTCAATCCACAAAGAAAAAAGGCACTATTTGCTTTAGATAAGCTGACCATATGCAGGAATGACCCTTTGGTAATTATAATATATTTACAGATTTGGGTCAGTCAAAATAAAGTTTAGTCTTCAATAAGTGATCCCTAGTTCATCCACAACCCTAATGACATAGAGTGACCTTGAAAAATGTTCTGAAACCCAAACCATTGGTTAAACCAAAAAAGGGACTTGGTCAAGGGTCCCTGGTTCAACACCATTGGGTTCCACCAGAATTGAACCATGCATCATAATTACCCTACAAATATATTAAAAATTACTTAAATAATAACATAAGTATAAAGATACATTCATTTTTTTTCCCTTTTATATTGATATATTGTTTTTAAATAGTTAATTATACTTGCGTTTGAAAGAAAATGCAATGGATATAATAAATAATATATGTTAACCATGGTGGTTTAGTGGTAAAGTGAACAAGTAATCATAAATGAGGTGCTGTGTTCGAGACCCATAACAGTGATTTTTGCAATGCCTGAACCAAGTACATTGGAAACTCATAGGTTCGGTCGGTTTACTTAAACCGACACCAATTCATGCGGTTAGCCAGTTTAACTATAGGTTTTGCTGGTTGAATAAAAAGAAGCCAATTTTCAAATTAAAACGGGTTAGGGTTTATCCAGATCAGAACCTAGACCGATCAACAGGTCAACCTAGCCAGTTCAGTTTTAAAAGCATTTGCCTTGTAATATACCCTTCCTTATACTTGGTCTAGAATCGATTATGACACCACCCAACTCCAATATAACCTCAACTTGGACACATTGAAGAATCCAGATGATGGGTCCTTGGTTATGCTACAGATTTTACAATAATTGATTTGTCATCAGCTTATCATGTCAATTGCATAAAGAAGCAAAAGAGAAGAAAAGTGATTTAGGCAATTCAATTCACAAGAAGAGTTCCATATTGTGTAGTAAAATGATTCACACTCCTTTTTTTTTTGTCTTTTAGCCTCTCACAAGGATAGTGTG